CTCTTCATGGGTCCTAACAAAGCTTTTGTTGACAAGAAGAAAGCCGAGTTCATGGCTCGATGGGAATGTCGTGATATGGGCGATGCTAGTGAATTTCTCCGCATAAGCATTCGTCGCGAAGGCAATAAGATCATGATTGACCAGAAGGATTACCTGAAGAAAGTCCTTGAACGTTTTGGGATGCAGAATGCAAAAGGTGCTCCTACGCCCTTACCTGCTGGCTATGTGCCAACTCCCAACGATGGTCCAGTCAATCCTGCCATTCGCTCCAGATTCCAGTCTGTGATTGGGTCGCTTCTGTACATTATGCTGGGCACACGTCCTGATATTGCCTATGCAGTTACGAAGCTTTCCCAGTTCTCTTCTAATCCAACGAAGGAACACCTTGATAAAGCTCTGTATATCTGCCGCTATCTAGCTGGCACATCAGATTATTCACTTGTCTATGATGGTGATTCTGATGGAGGTCTTCTTGCGTTCACAGACTCAGATTGGGCTGCCGATCCCATCAAACGCCGTTCGATTACTGGCTATTTCTTCAAGTTAGCAGGCGGCATCTTCTCGTGGCAATCACACGCCCAGAAGACTGTAGCTCTTTCTTCCACTGAGGCTGAGTATATGGCACTGTCAGATTGCAGTCGTCAAGCTTCCTGGATAAGATTGCTACTCTCTGAACTTGGAATTGATCTAGGTCCTATTCCAATCTGCGGAGACAATCAAGGCTCGATCTTCATTGCATCTAATCCGGTTCAAGAACGCCGAACCAAGCACATCGATATTCGATATCATTATATTCGATCGTGTGTTGAAGATGGCAAAGTCGAGTTGTTCTTCATCGAAGGAGTCTATAATCCCGCAGACATGTTTACGAAGAATCTCGGACATGAGAAATTCTTACGGTTCAGAGATCACCTTGGACTTGAATTCTATTCGTCCACTTGATTTGCTCAGATGCGCTTTTCAGCTGCACTTAGCGAGGGGGTGTGTTGAATCCGTGGACTATAATTAGATCCCGGTATATCCGAAGTCCCGGTTCATACTTCCCGCAGTGATATTATGCAGGACTATTGTTCCATTTATCATTTCTACTTATGATCATATGTACAATTTCTATTGTCGTCCTTATATGGTATTCGCTATAGTCTCTACATGTATATAAGCTCGTAGTTCTCTACATGAATCTACAGTGTGCTTGAGCTTCTACGTCTCGCCTCTATCTCTCTAAACTCCTCTTTGGTAAGTAGTAGTATAGCTATGTTGTAGTCCTCTGCGCTAGGCGTCATGCCGGCTCATCACATTGCCACGTAACCAATGTGGCTGATCAGAGGTGTGTTCCACTGTCATAGCCACTATAATCGAACGTTACCTTGAAATCTGTCAGTCGCACAAGTTTGCTGTTTGAGTGCCCTATCGATGGCAATGTTCGTCTGCTGTCGTCCACGACGTATTGGCGTTGCGAATGTGCTCGGAGATCCCTTGTCTCAATGTAACCCAGGGAGGCATCGAATCAAAGTCAATACGAGGCGCGTGTGTACAGGTTATTGGTCTGGTATAGTCAGCATTGTATGCCTTGCTGACTGTTCTTCCCGTGATTTCAAAATACCTCCTCGTGTGAAGTGACGAGTTTCAGGTCCAAGGACCGACGATCGCCAGCTTTAGTCCCGAGCACAGGAATACAAGGCGTTCTTCGAGTAATTATGTATCGGAAAGTCCCGACGAGCTGTGGTTGCCTGCATTGCTATCTACCGTCGTCCACGACGTGTTGGCGTCTCAAGCGTGCTCTGAGATCCCTGGTTTCAACACAGGCAGCCCGTGAGGTGTGCGCGCGTGAGAGGGGATTCAACCCCACTGGGGGAATGCATCGAATCAAGGTCAATCGCGTGTAATACAGCTTATCGGTTCGTAGACCTTACCGTCCATTCAAAGTATCTTCCCGTGTGAGCTGACTAGTCTCAAGGCAAAACGGATTTCGTAAAGTTGAAGCGCCCGCGCACCAACGTCATGTCCCGCAAAGAGAGCTCGGGATACCGTAAGGCGTTCTTCCAGTACTTCAGATCTATCGGAACGTCCGGCCGACGGGCGGTGGTTTCTTGCGAGTTATGTGGGTCTTGTCAGTGTTAGTACTTTTCCTCGTCATCAGGAAGTCGCTACCACTGGCAAACTTTGAATTTGAGACCAAAGCGCAGACATTGAATCTGCCAGATTGAATTTGCGGCGTCGGATGAAAGAATTCCGAAACTCGTTGTTTCGCGGGAAGGGATATTACGCAAGGCGTTGATATTTGCAGCCTGGTAGTAGAGCCTCATGGGCTTGAGCTGTGCGAAGATAAAAGGAGGGATCTAGAAACTCTAAAGTGCTGAAATATGGAATCAGAAAAATTGGCTCAAGTGCTAGAAGATTGAGCTGAAGTCTGAGATCATCGAGATGGTATACAAGGCCATAGGATTCAGCGAGAGACTTTATTTGAGATGTTTGATGCATTTAGAGATTGTTCGAAGGGCTTCAGAGAGCTAGAATATTTCCCAAGGCATAGAGGTGATGATGGTTCTTGCGAGAAGAGATGCGTGAGAAGTTTCCATTTTCAGGCTATGATCACTACCACCACCATCGACGGCGAACCACTAGACAACTCACAGCTCAATGACATTGCTTTCAAGGCCGTTGATATCTCAATATGCTTGACGTGCCAACTTGGTTTGCCCCGCTTTGCTCTCTGCGGACCATGAAATGTTGATCTAGGTCCACGCAGCTCGCAAACGAGGCACCAAGTGAGTTAGCTCGCGTACAATTCGAGAGGCCTTGCTCAGCGGACGTGAGGCAACAGTTGACACTTGGTGGGTGTTCGTTCTTTCTTTATATTTCTTTTTTCTTGTAACCTTGACTCAGAGTTGTCTTTGTTTTTCCTCCAGCACACGCACTCTCGGTGCAGACATCGAGATTCAATTTCCAGGACGAACAAATTCTGATGTCGTCACCCAAAACTCAGCACGTCTGTAAGAAAATAAAAGTGACAGAAGATTACTTGAGGTTCTGGGTGCGTCGATTTGTCTATTACCTTTTCCCGTTCTGGTTTGACTGACTATTATTTGACAGGCCTCTAGTCCTCTCGAGCATGAACATGCACATTGAATCACACTGTAGACGATGTCGAAGAGCGCCGTGGAATACTTGTTAAATGAAGGTGGGAGAAGAATTAACGAATTCGGAGATAGAGGTGCGCTTGTTGGTTCTGTTCGCTCTTAGTCTTCGGACCTGACCTTGGATCAACATTTTCCCTGAAAGTACACCTTCCTCAAGGCACTGGCAGCCACGTCAGCCGCTGCGAGTGATGTCTTTTGCCCGCCCCAGCCGGCACCCTCTTTGTCGCTCCTATGGACGCGCCGTTCATGACCCGCAACGACATCCGCCATCAATGATCACCTTCGTAACCCTACCATCTCGTTCATCTCACCTCGCCTTCTTTGCATAATTGAGCCGCTCCCAAGCATTTGCCGCCTTACGCATGGGCTCTGCCACCAGAATACACCAAAACCTTTGGTCGGCTCGGGTCCGAAGATACGAAAGAGTTGAAATACGAGCAGTCGGAGGCGCTCGAGACAGAGGGCGATATATAGTCCTCTGGTTTGCAGCGACAGCGACGTACCTCAGGGTGTTTCTCCAACTCTATTATAGCCCTTTGCGAGGATGAACGGTGTTTCTTGTTTGTGGACTTTCCGATCATCGCAAACTCCGTACGAGTTGGACTTGTGCGATTCAGCGTCATTCAAGAGAGGGTCGGGCTATGGAACCAAACTTCCCGAGCACCGAAGACGTTCTTCCGATAGAATAGTTCCAGTCAGCTCGGGCGGAATTGGCCATTATCGGACGTCGATACAGACCCTCGGTGGCCCCGGCCAGGCCCAGACCCAGACCTGTGACAGGTCCTCTCAAGGGCAATTATCGGATGCTGCCTACACGCCTCGTGTTGCGTGCTGGTACATATGATAGAGCCTTCGCTCGTACACCCACAGTTCGTGCCCTTTATCATCCATATTCCCCTCCCTACGTACCCATACTTAGAACCAGGGTCTGGGAACCCTCGAAGAATGTCCCTGGTTCTTCTCTACATCCTTATCCCCCTCCACATACGCCATTCTGCCTCTTTTCGCATCACCAGGTCGCTTCTATCGCGCCTCAGGACGCGTGCATACACTCTATCACGAAATCGTCTGGTTTACCTACTCTTTATCTGGGGTTAGCAATACGGATGGGTCACGGGACGGTTGGCCGGTATGAAGGAGTGTCAGATTTGGATAGATGGAACAAGAGAAATAGGCAGGGAATGAACGGTGGAGAACAGTCATGCCTCTCCTTCACTGCCCCGAGTTGTTGGCTTTCCTCTCTCCCCGACGTGCTCTTTCGCCCGTTCATACAAGGCAACTCGGAGGTGTGAAAACACTCGGACACGATGGGGTTACGGGGATGTGTACGGATTTCTCTCGGGCATGCGGGTGTTTTCGTCTCGTTTCGAGAGGAGAAGAAAGCACGTGAGAAGTAGCTGCCCTCGAGCATATATATGGTGTCTTGGATGCGCTGTTGGTTGTCTGTTCGTAGCCCTCGGCACCTGGTGACCTTTCCGGACCTCGGTTTTCAACACGTTTACTCTCTCCATCCTCTTCACCGCTACTTTTGCTTCGAGGGTGAACCTTTTGCTCCAATGCTGCGCCGAATCGCACGAGCGACCAGCAAGTTACATTGATGGCTAAGCGCCATTGGAACGTAGGAAGCTACAGGAAGTATGTAGCATGTAGCGAGCGGGGGTGAACCACTGGCTGCGGAGGGCTATATACAACGTATATTCATCGCTTATGACCATTAATCTCCCTTTTTCTCAATGGTTTACCAACGAAGTGTTTGTTATGTAACGCTAGTGCAGACGCGGAATACGTCGATTGATTTATGTAGCTGTAGTCTCCTCGCCGGCGCATATCCTGTTGTATCCGCATGCCAAGGAATTATAAGGCGCTATAGCCAAGTGGTTACGGCGACAGATTAGAATATCGTGTGGGAACGATCCATCTCACTTTGATCTGTTCCTCTTTGAGGGCGCAGGTTCGAATCCTGCTGGCGTCGATGTTAGGCTCTAACCCACTTTTTGGGCTCGGGTTGTTGGACTGAGAGGGTTCGTTAGAGGTACGTCCTCTGATTTTACTTTTTTTTCTCCCCGTTTTTTTTTTTTGACGATGGGATCATTTCAAAATCGGGGGTGGGGGGTTGGTTTGTGTGCTTGTGGGTCCAGGTTGTGTCGTATTCGACAGGGTTGTATAAGTTTGATGACAGCATCGGATTGATGTATATACGTTAATACATTCTCTCCGATGAATTCTCGGATCATAGCGATCGTAGGCTGATCCACACCAGTCCACACCCTTGTGTTGCCCTTGTGATCTCGCCGTGGCTCAAAGGTTCAAGCGTATAAGTACAGTAGCATTCAGCGTAGTACGTACTTCCCTACGGGCCGCTTGGAGACCGGTGCCCGGTGGCATGCAGGGTGCTTCTGTTCACACGACCCAATTCCTTCTAATACCACCACTGGCATCATCGTCTCGCTCAACGTTCATGGAGGCGACTCCGGTGTACACCAGCCAATTGTAGAAATGACTGTACGGACGAAGGGGACCTGCGATGAAGGGTAGAAATGGTCAGACATGGAGTCCTTTCGCCAAGTTCAGCTCTCTGGTTCGCAAGTGTTAATTATGGAATGGTCCTGGCCACATGATATCCTCCGTGGTGCGCATTACTCAGATATCCTCAAATATCCCTTAGAGACTTGGGTGTACTTACCCCAAGCAGTCTGAATTCTCTCAGACTTTTTTCTCCGTGCAACCGTTCGCGTCGGACGGAATACTTTCCCATAAATAAGTGATAGCAGTCGATCGACACCGATACCACCTACACCATCATGCTTCCATTGACCACATCGTCCCTCCTAGCAGCTCTCCAACTCTCCCCTCTCTTTGACTTTGAATCCGCCTGCTCTCTCACATCTCTCTCCCAAATATCGTTTTCTCAAAACACCACCCTCTTCCAAGCTTCCGTCGTTCCAGCAGGAACACAACTCCAATTCCCCGACACCGACCCCACCTGTGGCCCATCGCCCAAAGTCGTTCCAGCAGACATATGTCGCGTCACTTTGGAAGTCGAGACCAGTCCTACCTCCAGAATCAACATGGAGGCGTGGTTACCTAGGAATTGGACTGGGAGATTCCTGAGCACTGGAAATGGTGGTTTGAACGGGTGTATCAAATATCCGGATTTGGTGTACACTACGTCTCTGGGGTTTGCGGCTGTAGGTGCGAACAACGGACATAACGGGACGAGTGGGGCCCCGTTCGATGATGCCCCTGAGGTTGTGAATGATTTTGCCTATCGGTCGTAAGTTTCGTTCGACGTTGGCTCATGGTCAATTCATATATATGCTCAGCTGACCGTTTCCTTGGTTATAGCATCCACACGAACGCGGTGGTCGGAAAACAGATCACTAAGAGCTTCTACGGCGAACCGCATAAGAAATCGTACTATCTTGGTTGTTCGACTGGTGGTAGGCAAGGTCTCAAGAGCGTTGAGGACTTTCCAGAGGATTTCGATGGCGTTGTGGCGGGTATGTGCACTTCACTGCTCCTCAGTTCACTTTGACCTGATCGTTTTTTATCAAAGGCGCCCCGCTGCGAACTTCAACGGTCTTTTAGCATGGTCCGGGCACTTCCTTACCGAAATCACGGGAAACAGCACCCAGCCTACATTTATCCCTCTCGACCTCTGGAAAGGCCTCATCCACGACAGCATCTTCTCTCAATGCGACGGAATTGACGGCGTCAAGGACGGTATAATCGAAGATCCCAATCTATGCGACTACGACCCCTCCGTCTTACTCTGCCAAGGCGGCGACTCCGATTCAGATTGCCTTACAGAAGACCAAGTAGAAACCGTCCGGAAAGTATTCAGCCCTTTCCTCTCCTCCGACGGTCAAACGGTCCTATACCCACGCGCCCAACCCGGATTGGAACTCAACGAGTTGGGAATGATGGTCAACGGTACGCTGTTCCAGTATACAGCCGATTGGTATCGATACGTCGTTTACGACCGTAACACCTCCTTCGACCCTACCACACTCACGCTCGCTGACTACGAACACGGAATCGCGTTGGACCCGTCTAACATCTCGACTTTCAAGGGAGACTTGACAAGTTTCAAGGCGAGGGGCGGGAAGCTTTTGACCTTTCACGGTCAAGCGGATGGGTTGATCTCGTCTCGTATGGCTGAGTTGTACTATGACCATGCTCGGGAGGTTTCTGGGGAGCTGGACGACTATTACCGCTTCTTCAGGATCTCGGGGATGTCACATTGTCAGCGAGGTCCTGGGGCGTGGCAAATTGGACAGGGAAGTGCGAATGGGACGTCGTTTGATCCGGAGAGGAATGTGCTGACGGCGATGGTTGCTTGGGTTGAGCAGGGGAGGGCTCCAGAGACTATTGAAGGGGTTAAGTATGTCGATGATGATGTCGAGAAAGGTGTGGCGTTCAGTCGGAGGCACTGTATGTGGCCTTTGAGGAATGTGTACGATGGAGAGGGAGATCCTAGTCACCCGGACAGTTGGAGTTGTCGTGAAGCTTCATGATGTACGAATCCGATGTTTCCCAAATCCAAAAGTATTCGGATTTGTCGTCTTTGATTATAGTATTCAGAATACAACGGGCCGCCAGGCAGTGTAAACCTCCGGTTTCGACATGAACCGAAAGCCGGGCAGAACAATAGCAGGTCTCCAGGACTCGCTTTGTCTTTGTGAGTTTGGACTTGAAGGTCGCGAAGCAGGGGAAGTGGGTATCTGGTGTTGGGTATACAGTCTCTAAGTACACGCGATATCTCGAGAGACCCGCTCAGAATAGAGAGTGTACTCCAAATCATGCACGGGTTCTAGAACGCTTGCCCTTTTGTAACGGATAGTGAGCCCATTTCTACGTCTTCGGAAGTATGAGCGAACACAATCGATGGTGCTGTGATGTTCAGGACATGAGAGCGACGCTGGGAAGACGACATATGGAAACTGTTTGACGTGCTATCGTGGTCTCGTTCGACAGTAAGCCCTAGTCCCACCCTCACCAGAATGAGTAGAGGGGCAAAAGCCTACAGGGTGAGCAAATCGAACATCAGAAGCTGGTCTTTCTCAAGATGATAGAAGACGCACAATGACTTGAGGAAGGATAAACGCCATGATTACGAGCGCGTCGTGATCAGAGCTGGTCGCGTTCCGGACACTATAGACCGTGTAAGTGATGAGAAAGATAGGAATAATCATCCCCGACTCCATACTATGGTGAGAGGCGAAGAATCAGCTTCAGGGCTTTCGTCGGTGGCTCAAGCAAGCATAGACGCACGTTATAGCTATCACGGAATCGTACTTCTGTGGTGCCAAAGACTGAGATTTCCCATGGCTATGCTGTCCCCGAACCATCAGCCTCTGAATTCTCCGCTTCAGCCACCAGATCCGTCCTGCTGATTGATGAAGCACACATATCAATTGATGATCAAGAAACATGAGCTTCAGCCTCACCGATCAATAAGGTCAGCAACGCATTGGCGAATGCGCCGAGAACCAAGGCAGCAGTCGTAAAGGCCAAGGATTTTTCCAAAACTTCGGCACTAGTTTGTTGCTGAAGGCCCGCTGCGTACTGAACTTTCATGTACTGTGGGAGTTCGGTATAATATACACCTGGAAAAGGTTGTTTAGTGTTGCCATCAAAGGAACATCATGACTCCCACCTGTTTCTGCGAGGATGACCATAACTGGGAACACAACAATCTTCCAGTTTCTACCCCAGATACTGTAACAGCGATACACCTCGGATATTTTCAGCTGGATAAGTTCAAACAAAACACCATGGAGAAGACTGACGAGGATCATGAATGCAGTAAAACTTGAGGATGGCGATGAGTGTCGGTAACCGATAAGCAGATAAGAAGCGGTCGAGAGACGTACTCGATGAGATGTAGTACAACGTATTGGACAGCACTGATCAGTAAAAGTCTCAGCATCATCACCACGAAAAGTACATGTGAAACTCACCTGCATGCTTGACTATTGATCCCACTCGCAGCGAGTGGCGTCGCTCTGATATATCCATCAACTACGATCACAGCGCCCACCACGGCCGAGATAGTGGCGAGGACGAAGAGAAGTCCAGAGGAAACGACTTGGAATAACATTCCCTCTCTCGCTTTCCTCTTGTGGAGCAAATACATCCCCATCACGAATAAGACCGTATTGAATCCTGTAGTCGACGAGGAAGAAAAGGTTGGTCAATCGCTACAGCTCATTGCCTTGACGGCACCCGGGCGTACCATAGACAAGAATCTGGCCCTGAGAAACGGAAAGGTGAGATGAAAAAGAATGTCGAGTTTTTTTGGATACGACACGCACCCATCCAGAGAAAAACAAAACTACCAGGGGGGACGTGGGCATTTTGGAGTCGGGGATGGCGGGTAGTAGGGCCTGCTCACTATAAGTACTATCATACAATATACATCCCAATATAGATCAGTGGCAGTATAGGGCGGTATCAGCCCGCTCTACGAACCTTAGTTTCCTTGGTTCCAATCTGACCGGACGCGCTCTAATCCCTCTTCATCAGGTTCCTGGGGTGTCGATTTATTGATAGAACCAAATCAATCCGTGATACGTTCGACAAAACTCGAGCTCTAAAACGTGAGACGCGCAATTCATCAAATTATCATCACTGAAATCAGATCTCGTGAAGGAGCCTACAGGGGTGGAAAGCGAGTTGCCAAAGCGGTTTAGATAGAGTCTCATGTCAGAGGTAGCTGTTCGTGAGCGGTTGCTGCGTCCCATCACTTGGAGCGGGAGGCCTATACCTATAATTACCTCGACCCCTGCGGTGACACCGGATTGATCACCACCAATAGACGAAAAGGGTCTAGGCTCGAAGGACCCCGCAAGGTCGATTTAGTGCAATGAACGGGGCCAACCACCCATGTCCTACCAGTATCGCACAAGCCTGAACACGATTAGTTCCAGCTTCCTCTGAGAACCGAAATAAGTAGGCTCGCCAGGATGA